CCCACTCTCCCTCTTCTTCGAATGGACAACAACATTTTTTTTTATTTACAACAAAGACTAATATACTTCTACCTCTCTCTGTACATCTCTTTCATCCATAAATTTGGCCATCAACTGGCATCTCGGCCTTCTTCCCCGACCTGAATCCAAGCCATTGCTCAACCTCCCCGTCCTGGCTCACTTGCCGTATCACGCCCCAGGACAGTGCTCCTGCCGCGATGTCTTCGCCAAAAACTTGTTGCTTAACCCTGTCAACCGTCGAGAGGTGACAAGATGCCGCAATTACACCCGTGCAAGTCCCCATCAGCGGTTTACCCGGCGGATAACGCCTGATGATGGCTAGCAGAACAATGGCCATCCATGACACAGCCGTGAGGATAATCATCCAGAATACCGCGAGCGCTGAGTATCCAAGGGTGGAAATACTCCCGTCCAACTGTCTATCTTCACCCAGTGTTACTCTACGACCCTCGGTGTCCCACAGGTCCAAGTTGAAATAAAACACGCCCACACTGGCTAGCCATTTCTCGGCAATGGTGATCGCCATCAAAGGGATGGCATACCGGTATGGTAAACTCAAGAAATAAGACCCTCTTTGGCGCCCTCGTGGATTCGACACCCGCAGATACGAGGAAGTTGACCGTTTGTCCCCACTCCCGATCCGGTGCCACTCGCGCTCCGCCACCATGAGGGTGACTACCATGTTGTAGTACAAATAGGTCAGAGATGTGATGAACTGTGGGGTGTTTGCAATCGTGACGAGCTTGAGCTCTCTTGTCATGGACCTGGCGGTGGCTTCTCCAAGAATAGCCGTACACTTCTCTGGTCCGGACCAGAGGTCGGACGCGAACCTAGGGATAGTGAGGCTTGGTCAGCTTCCTGCAGGGGCTTCTCGAACCTGCGATGGGACTCATACATTTGCTTCATATAGGACTTGGGATCAGTTCTTCGGCCATTATTTTGTACACCCACCATGAAGCACGTGATTAGTGCAAGAATGATGGTCAAAAACCACAGCGTGGTCAAACCCCATCTTGTTAAACCGACAGCCTGCCACCACCGCCGACGGGCCCCGTGTTGGTGATAGCTCTTCGGCACTAATTTTGGTCGAAACATGTTTCTGAACGACGTGTGGTCATATGAGCACGCGGACCTGGTTATCTGCTCCGAGGGCTTGTTCAGAAACGAATCGACGGCGTCTCCAATCGTCACAAGGGGCATGGATCGCTGAAAGTGGATCATACCTGAAAGACAGCAGGCGATCGCGAGGCCACAGAGAGTAGTCAGCCACCAGAATAGTGGATTTGCCAAAAGTCGACATTCTGGCTCGAAAACCTCGCTGAAGGCCGTGTGTTTCAGTGGAAATTCATCCCACCAAAGGGCAGAGATGTTGTTTGCATGACCGCAGGAATAATCGCCTTCAAAGGTTGCTCCGTGGATTGCCCTGGGAACTCGAGCATACGGCGTGAGAATTGTTTCAATATCGACGTCTTCTTGGCGAGGGAGGTTCTCATGCGTCGTATCAACAGTGTCCCAGACGAACATCGCATGTCGAAAGGAAACAGGCAGCTCACTGCAGTAACGATCCAGAAGCGCTACAAGGGGTAATTCTACCCATTTGGAGATGTTTTGGGCGAGTTCTGAGCGCATATGCTCTGGAGTCACAAGCAGGTTGCTGTACAGATTGACACTGCTCGTCTTGTAAACGGCCGAGTTGAAGACAAAGTGGAGCGGGAGAGCAACCAAAAACATAACGACCCAGAAGAGAAGCCGAACTGGTCGAATCCGGAACATGTTGCAGACTGAGGAAACGGCGATGTCGATGGTCCCTCCCTTGCTGTGAACTTTATCGATGTCGGATCTGGTTGGTGCGGACCAGGCCTGCATCGCAAAGTTCTTAATTGGGAAAGGATACCAGTCAGTGAAGGGTTGCCAGATTAGAATGACGGTGGGAGACCTACCGTGGCCGCCAGCATACAGCTTGACAGGATATTCATCACAAGATGAATCCATGTATCAGCTGATTTTATATCGGCACACGACCCGGATTTGATGGTAACCGTCGTGAGGTAACCGTCGTGAATTCCACCATGGACCGTTAAAGAGATGGAAATGCCCAAAACCGCGACAACTAGCACCCATGAGACAATACAGAGTAACGTGAGCGTCCCGCGCCACCCTCGAAATCTGTTCAGGGCGTCCAAGTTCAAAGTACGCGATCTTCTTATGAGCCATCTGCTGATCCGCTTGCTTGTTACATCCATTGCTGCCATTACTGAGCTGCCATGGGCTTGTGGCTTCCGTCTCGACTCCACCTCGGTCGGTTTTGTGATCATGGTACTGGTATCTTCGTGAGTCTTGGATCCCTCTTGAACTATCCGAGAATTCAGATCGTCCAAATTATCTTTCCTTCCTTCATGTTTCCTTCTGATTCTCAGCTGCAAGATGGACAGCGCTATATTAGGTATTCACTGGTCTGGTATGTGCCGTACGAATGACTCCGACCGCTAAGATTTTAATCCTGCGGCATGTTCTGGTCCCCTCGCCCTTCATGCCTTGCCAAGAAGCGTCAGCATTACTGCCTAGACGATATTAAGTCGACTACAACACTCCTATACACCCCAAAGGGCTTCCTAGGCTAAATCATGCACTGTGGTTGTATGACCGGTACCGTGCCGCCTTGGCTCAATCTCGACCATCGCCTGGGCAACACGGCCACTGCGCTGTTGGAATCTCACCGACAAATTCCGGCCCCCAAGAGAACACTTCCCGCATAGGTCAAATATAAGATAATTTGAAGCTCCCAGATTTCTTCACCGGCCGCGCGGCGACATTGGGGACTGTTCAGAGGATCATTCGCTGGTTATGCTTTCTGCACGCATAGGCATTGAACCATATGTTGAGAAGTTGATGAACCCCTTATCCCTTCCCTTTAACATTTGAACTTAGAAAAAAGTTAGGTTCCGAGCGACAGCCGTCGTTGCGATGCCACTTGTCATTTCAATTGCCTTGGCCCGGGGTGTTGATGAGCAGCCTGTCCCCCTAATTATCACGTTTAAGGTTGTTGCGATAGTAATATCCATTTATACAGCGGCTCTGGTGACATGGCACCGTGTCCGAGATCCCAGAAAGAGCCCGGCGAGCGCTGATAATCGTCCCAGAACCCAACAACGTCTGGGGGGAGGAGGTCATCAATCTAACCTAGCACATGAATTTGGGAAGGGAGCTATCCTCACCACAAGAGTCATGGTCTTCTTAGGAGCGGTTTCTGTGATAATTAGATCTGGAGCCCACATCGGCTTCGATTTCATTCAGCCCATCTGGTCAATAGATATTCGACCGGATGATGGGGGACTTGTCGGTGATATGATCGTACCAATTCTCCCATCTCACACCGGCCTCGACGTTGTCTACTATGGTTTTGGGTTTGCCTCGTTTGTATTTGGAATAGGCACCCTGGCTCGACTTAACACCCTTATTCTCATCGGACTGCTTCCCGAGAAGAAGCATGTACGGCAGCCGAGAGATGGGGCGCGGCTGTTTTGGGTCGGCCCACTCGTTCTTCTATGGATTACTTTCTCTATAGTATTGACAAAAGAGATGTAAGTAAGACTCTGCTCGTCCCTTTTTACTCGATTAATCCGTACGACAAACAACGTCGACAAATAATGACAGTATAAGCTTGCTAAGACACCAGACGCTGCAGCATCGAGTCGCTAAAGCGAAGCTTGGGAGATATTGCCTACCTACCTAACAGCTATGACGACGCCTCCACACCGAACAGACGGGCAATATTTATTCTGTATTGGCTCCTCTGTGGTTGGATCGCGCTCGTCATGCTTGCTATCACGACGGGGACAATCCGGCGAATAGTCCACGCCTCGAGGGCCGGTATCTTAACAGGGGTAAGTACATACTGCATAGCACCTTTCTCCCAGACCCAAAGAAGCTTCAACAACTGATTCTGTTGTCCCCTTGTCAAGCGTGAGCGAAAGACTTTGAAAACACATGGTGTTGTTCTACTCATCGCTTTGGTCTTCCTTGCCCTGGTTTATCTCATGCTGCTCATAGACATAATGATCGGGCCTTATCATTTATTTGTGTTACCTGGGATGCGTATGACATATTGGACAGTGTTTGTTGTTGAAGTTGTTGGGCTACCTCTTTTGATTTTGTGGGCAGGATACATGACAAGACGGTTGGCAGACAATCCTGAAAAGATGATGGGTATCACTTTTGACTAGGATTTCTTTCGTTCCAATATGCGGGAATCAGAAGCGACGAATAAGAACAGACTGCGAGGGGGCTATGTGATGTCTGGATAGTCTCTCACGGGAGAAACCTCATACAGAAATCGGTTTGGGGCTCGTGGTGTGAGGTGTGAGAGTCAGCGAGTTCTGGACACAGGGGTTTCGGGGCTGAAGATATGTGTTGAAACAACGTGCATTCACCACCCCCACCGAGGCGTCTTCCCCCAATGCGAGATAAAATTTCCACCATTATGCATGCATCGCCCAGTTGGTTGCATCAGATGGAAGACGGAAGGAAACTCTGGAGAAGACATCACCTAGAGGGAGGCACTCAGGCTCGATGTGACCTGGGTTGCAGATGGCACCTGGAGAGTTGGAACTGGGTCTGTCTTCTTCGACTCTTCGTCTAGTACAGGTACGAGTCAGCAGCAACCGATGCGGACAGTGTCAACATGTCGGTACGAGAGTGCGAAACAGGACGACATGTCATATCAGTCACACACATTGTAATACCCCCCGATCAAGTAACATGGATAGGCCTTGTACACCAGGAGCTTCCCTACTAACGAAAGATGGTAAAGTTTCATCGGCAGAGAAGACGGATTATGTCAGCACCGAGTTTAATCCGAGTTCTCCAGCTTCTAGACTTCCCATCCGCTCGGCGCTCCACAACCTTACTCACCAGGAAGGGGCAAACTTCTCTCGATAAGAACCCTAAACGAGTCAGTTATCATCGAAGCAAGCAACAGCGGGTGCATGGTCTAGTGGTATGATTTTCGCTTTGCATACTCACCTTCGAGGTTCTTTACGAGCCAAGAAGATATGCAATCTTGTGAACGGTCCCCGGTTCGATCCCGGGTGCATCCAATTCCTTTTTACTCTCTTTTTCTTATCCTTCTTTTCCCTTCTGTTTGCTCATTTTCTGATGGGGCGTGAGGGCAGATAAATATCTAGAATAAAATTGTTCTACTCTATATTGTGTGCTGTCTGTCCTTGGTCTAGTGTTAATGAGATCGAGTCAAACCTGTGTCTTAAGATTTCTTTTTCTTCTCAAATCCCGATGCTCTTGCAAGTTCTTCAACATCCCATACCAGCAGTCTGGCACGACCCCGAATACGAGCCGGCGATTGGCTGAATCGTACACACCCCCATATCTGGAGGAAGAAAACAAAACTTTTAGACCTCACCGCGACATAATCACTGGCTGGCTGCGAATACCGCAAGCTAGTGCCTTTTCGGCGAAATGAATAACCTGATGGTAAGCTGCGGGGTGGGATTGTGGCTTCACTCTCCTCCTTCGTCAGCTGTTTCATTTTGAGTGATGGGATCTGGTTGGCCACGGGGAAAAACTCCATCACACCCACCACCGAGGGGCCGCTGACCGGGTCCGGCCCGCACCCTCTCTGCAAAAATTCCCCTTCCCGCTTTCCCATGTCTCACTTGGAGTTACCCCAGATCCTCAGCCGATTGTTCGTTCACCACCATACCGGACGGAATACGTACTAGTCTTGTTGGTGCCGCCGAAATCTTCAACATGCAACTGCAATTGAAACCATTGCATTATCACAAAACGAATGAATCCCTTAGCCGACTGAACCTTGCTTCAACACTTGTCTGGAGAGAAATGACAAACGACAGGTCAAACCTCATATGTCATAAATAAACCCCGTCTTTGAACTAGGAAGCAGTTGTGTTGTGTTATCCGTATGATGTCTTGTGTTGGAGCGTAAACTGACAGAATCCTAGCAATCACGCACTCATGGCTTGCTGTTATGTAATTATACCTATCCGGTCCGTCACCAACTTGGTGTTTTTGCCAGTGTCACCACACCAGATCAAGATGGCTTGTTGTGGCTATCACCGGTCTCATCCTCGGTGAATATTACGGTTCCGGGTTAAAACCCAGCTGAAATCTCAAGAACATTTCAACATTCCATTGTCCTTGCGTCGGATGGCAGTACCTACGCGTACGGTAATCGGATTTGCTACAGATCGATCCTTCCAATAAATAATCCGTGTAAATACAGGCACAGGAAGTGAACAACCGGAAGACCAAATGGCAAGGTAAAGTGCATAACAACAACAGCTTGATACAACGAGCTGTCCTTTCCCCATCTACTTGCTATGTATCCAAGATATCACGGTTGATCCAAGATCAACAAACTTTATCCACCCAATCTGCAATACATCTCGAATATACACCACCACCTTGGGGATAGCTAGCCAACTCCCTCTCGCTCCCAGTAGTACCCATATCAGTGCTTATTCGTCCCTCTTGACCAACATAACAGGCGGCGTGTAATTCTTGCGCCCAGCAACAAAGTAATACCCCACAGCGATTATCATCGACCCGCCAAACATGACACAGTTCCAGTTCATGGTCTCGACCGTAAGAGCCTCGCCTGTGAAGATGGGGAAGAAGATGAAGACCCAGACGATGAGCAAGAACGAGATGGCACCGAGGTTGATGAAGATTCCGTACCGGCCGAGGGACCACCGCCGGGGAGGCAGTGGACCGCGTAGACGGCGGAGGACCATGCATGTGAATCTATAAACTCAGGTTAGATATTTTTAAAGGCTGATTGGGGATGAATGGGTGTGACAAGCACTGGCAGAGAACGTACGAAATGATATATGTCCCGAGGATAGCGGTAGTAGCCATTGAGCCGATGGCGTTAAAGGCGACGCTCGAGCCAATGTTGATTAGGGACAAGAGAGCGGTGATGACAAAGGTGAGCATGACCGAGTTCAGCGGGATGTTCCAGCCTGGTTTGACCTATTTCCGAGCAAGGGTTAGTTGACATGCTAATCGTCATAGCCTGCTGCCGGGTGTGCTTGGCATCACATACCTTGGAAATAAAAGATGATCCTGGCAGCCCGCCATCACGAGCAAACGACCAAGTCTGACGAGATACAGTGGCCACAGTGCTGATGCAGGCCGAGGTGATGTTGACAATGATGATGGCCGTCATGATAGCCGTGCCCGCTTGGCTCTTGGTGACATCGTAGAAGACTTGAATGAAGGGATAGTGGGTTGGACTTTCGAGGATGGAATAGACGTCGCCCAAGGTGAAAGCAAACGTGATGTTCATGATCCAGCCGAGCGAGCCATTCATGACGGCAGCCCACATGATGGCTCTAGGCAGCACAACGGAGGCATCTTTGATCTCCTCGGCCATATGGACGGCCGAATCGGCACCGATGAGTGTGTAGACGGGCGCCAGCAGTCCGACCATAAAAGACAGGCCGTCGGTCTGCCATCCTCCCAGGTTGAGGAACTGGGTGAAGACTTGCTGCGGATCACCACGTGGGGCAAGCACCCACAAGGGGACCAATACGGCGAAGAAGCCGAGGAGGTGGAAGATGAGGATCATGCCCTCGATCATGGGAAGCCGCTTGGCGAGAAATGTATTGAAGAGGATGCAGAAGGCGGCAATGGCAATGACAAGTAGAGTCCCATGCCAATTCTCAGGATGATAGCTTGGGTTTCCGAGTACGATCAAGCCCTGGATCATGGTCCCGACCAGGAAGGTGAGAGATGCCAGTCCGACCTGCCAGCCGATGACAGATACCCAGCCAGTGAGGTAGCTGAGGAACTTCTGGGTCCCTGCTGGGGCGAGCTCGGAGACCCAGTGGTATTGTCCACCAGAGGTTGGAGACCTGCAATTGTGAGCGACAGATTCTTGTTGAGCGAGTCATGTTCTGTCTTGAAAGACTTACATCGAAGCCATCTCGGCCATGGTAGCAAAGACCATCAGGTAGCCAATCCAGACGACAAGGTAACCCCAGATCAGACCTGCTGTTCCGCCATTCAACAGAGCAAACATGCTCGTCCTGTGGTTGAGCAATCTTGTGTCAGGACACTCTATGGGTCAATTAACGATGTGGTGGTTGGTTGACTTACATCAAGCCGATCTCCCATGTGCTCATCAGCGTACAAGCAAACCCCAAAGTCGAGATGAAACGAAAATTGCGCTACAAACTGTCAGCAATCATCTTGTGCGACCAAGATCTGAGACGATGCAAGACTGACGTTCAACTGCTGCGTCTTTCCCAGCATGCGCATCTCATACTCGTCGGCTTCGGTGCCGCCCAGCTTGGACACCGTTGGCATGTCATAGCCAGCTTCGGCCTTGTCGGCCGTCGTCGCCTCGACTACCGACGACTTGTCTGAAGAGCCCATGGTTGAAAGGAGAGAAAAGGCGGGCGAGAATCAACTCGGTGCTGGAAATGAAACGAGGCCGGACGGCAGGTATAACGAAGCTGCAATATGCTGGGGATTACGGAGCATAGGATGTCTCGTTCCTACTTTGAAGCAGCCCACTCGGTCGAACGAGAGAAGGAGAGAAACGAGAAGAGATCCGATAACGAAGCTGCGGAGAGAATCGGCTCTTTGAGCAGCAATCTTTTGATCTTCCAAGGGGGTGAAACAGCACAGTCCTCGAGCACTTTTCCGCCACCTCTTGGGTGTCTTAATCCAGCTACTTGGCACCAAGAGGAAAAGCAAAAGCCAAAAGGAAAACAATGCAAGAACCGCAAGAGATAACAACGCCGATTCTGGTAAAGGGTAGAAACAATAGATTGCTGCGGCAAACTGCCAACTGCATTTGACCTGCAGGCAGGGACCCCGAGAAATTGAGTATTTCGAGGTCCCTGGCGAGTGGTATTATTTCCTGATGCAACATTGATAACATCAGGTAGGTATCATGGAAATTTGGTCGGAAATAATGGTGCCTAGGGTTGTCGTATTGTCATAAATTTCCAGCACCTCCCCAGGTCCCGGCTCGTGCTGGTGAGCATCATATCTTTGCTTTTTGCGAGGGAGAACTGTCCAATCGTTCATGAGAGTGAGGCCGCGATGGCCCGGACGGGTTGCATCCACAAACGTCGACGGCGTCAACCATTGGTCAATAGCGGAGAGGTGGATGCTGCCATCAGGTCAATATTCTCGCCCACGGAAGCAGGACAACATCTCCCGTTTCGCCAAGATTATCCGTATCAGTCTTTCAGAGACGAGATGCAGACGCCACAATGCAGCGAGACACACTTCCCCGAAGCCAATCACAGGCCTTGGGTGCCCACATTCGCTCCCATTCCCTTGGGTCGACCACGATAGGACCAGGAGAGAAAAAAGCCGCCAATTACGGATAACTGGGGGTGGTGGGATGTTCCGAAATCAAGCTTTTGCTGACGGCACAGTAGAGCTAGTTGAACAATGCGTGGGGGAGGCACCGTATCGACTGCCGTCTTGGAAAGGCAAGACAACTGGATGCAAGGGCCAGGGATACTCGAGCCACGAACAACCCGGTCAGTCAATGCGAGATATAGGACAGAGACATCCCAAAGATAACATGAGAGCAAAAAAGGATTGGAGAAAGCCAGAGGTGGAAGTGACCGGATTTTCTTTCTGATTTCCCCAAATGAGCTTTTTTGCCCTTTCCGACCTCGAAAAAGCGCGAAAAAGCTGTGTTGATGCTCGAAGACAGTCTCAGACCCACACGGCTTGGTGGACGAATGGGGGTCAATTTATGGATGTGACTTTGTGAATCCAAGCACAGCACCGGCTCTGGTACCGAGACCAGCAGCACCCTCGCATGCGCAACGGTGAAACTTTGCTGGGCAGCTGGCCCTTGTTTTCGAGACAACATTGCTTCTTTTTCTTGCCGTCTCCATCTTGCTTGGTTCTTTTTCTCCTTTCTTCCCCTCGCTCTGTTTGCCTCCCTTCTGGGTGATTCTTGCCGTGACCTGAATCTGATCCCGCCTCTCCAGTCCAATGTCGATGCGATTGTGGCCATACAGCATCCTTCCGGTCTCGCGAGCGCGCGCTTGACACGAATCAGTCGAGGTCATTTGTCGGATCGCATCCA